ATTTCTCAGAGCTGAAGATTTTTTTAAAACAAGAATCTTGCAGTAGACGTGTGGATAAAACAACTATGGAACTATGGGGCATTTACACAAAAACGGTACACTTCTCAGCCCTAAAAAAGAAGAAAATTTTATCCTTGTGACAGCATGGATAGACCTGGAGAACGTTGTGTTAAGGGAAATAAGCCAGTCAGAGAAAGACAAACACCATATGATTTCACACATATGTGGAATCTAATGAACAAGCAAAATAGAGGCAGACTCATAAATAGAGAGCAGGATGACAACTATGGTGGGATGGGTAGGGGGTGGAAGAATCCAGTGAAAAGGAACAAGGACTAATGGACACAGACAACAGTGGTGATGCGGGGGGCGGTATAAAGGAGATAAATGGTAATGAAAAAAAATACAATAAAAAATTTTTTTGCTTAGGTTTTCTTTTTCTTATTACTTAGCTGGTGAATTGACCATTCTACATTAAAAAATACTTAAGAACTTTGAAAAGAAAGGAAATCCTAACTAAACACCACACTTTTATATTTGCAATATATACACACATACTTTTTTTTTTTTAGAGAAGAGGGAAGGGAGGGAGAAATAGAAGGAGAGAAACATCCATGTGATAGAGATGCATCGATTGGTTGCCTCTTGTACATGTCCTGACCAGGAACTGAACCTGCAACCTTGGCATGTGCCCTGACTGCAAATTGAACTGGTGACTTTTCACTTTGCAGGATGACAACAAACCAACTGAGCCACACCAGCCAGGGCCATACTTCCTTCTTTAAGACTTCTTTATTTTTTGTGTGTGTGTATGTATGTAGAGATTTATATGTTAGTGGAACAGTGTATTTATATATAGAGATTTATTTCAAATAATTGGTTTATGTGATTGTGGGTGCTATAAATTCTGAAATTGGTGGGTCAGATTGACAATTTGCGTAGGAGCTGAAGCTAAAGCTTCTCTTTTGAATTTAAGGCCTTTTAACTGATTAGATGAGGACCACCCACATTATCAACGGCAACATTTAGTTAAAATGAAGCGATTGTCAGTGTTGACCCCATGTACCGAATGCCTTCACAGTAAACTTAGATTAGTGTTTGATTGAATAACTGAGCGCTATAGGCTGGCCAAATTGATAAAAAATTATCATGTCAGAATACTTCTCCAGACTTGAAATTCCAATTATTATTACTCGAGGAAATTTTTTTCTTTTAAGATTTAGTTTTTCAAGGAAACTATTATTTAAAAATGATGTGTTAAAAAGAAACTACATTACAAAAGAGATTTTTCTCATTTTCTTCTAATTTCTTTGAAAATCTCAGTTAATCAGAGCTTTATCTCAGGGTGTTCAGGCCACCACAGCTAATTTGCGAGTCAGGAGCTGAAAAACTGAAAGAGGCCGTGCTGCTTTAAGAGAAGCCAGCAGCTCGGTCCTCAGGTGGAGTCACTTCCTGCACTGTGATAAGGCTCCTCTGGGCATACTCTGTCACTCATTACCAGGGGGTGCCTTCAGCTCAGCATGGTAAGTGACTGCTGTGCTTATACATTGTTGACAGTGTTGCTTTGGTGTAGTAGCAAATTTTACTCATCATATTTGGCCCTCTTCCTTACCAAGCAATTCTTAATAAATTCTTGATACAAAAGAAGAAATTTTTAAAGAACCATTTGTTTCTTTTAACATCCATGTTTAAAGCAGATTTGAATAAGCTCTTCTCTATTTAGCTCTTGTTTTTGCTGCTTTTAACAAAAGCATAGTTGATTTGCAGGTATTCATTGCCTTTAACTGAAATGCTGGAGCATGAACCTCTCCTTCTTGTAGTTTTTGCATTGGTTTTAGACCTGGTATACTGAATTCTTTTTTTGTAGAGATCAATTGTTTCACCTTCAGTTATGGTTTTAGAGTTTCTGGGGACTTCGGAGCCAGGTTACCATTGTTAATCTCATAAGTGGGTGGCAGATAAAGTGTATGAACACCTTCTTTGTTCTCTCTTGAGTTTATTCCTTTGGGGATCACCTTTTAAGATCCACTTTCCCTTTAATCTCTATGTTTCAGTCACAGTAATTTTAGTTTTTCAGAATTTTAATTTTTAAATGGAAGTAACCTTTCAAACTGCTTTTTCATCTTTGATCTTCTCCCCCTTTGGACTCTAACATTTTAAGGATGTTTAAATTGTTTTGCTCTTAAAAATGATGTCTTCCTACATGAGGGATCCTCGTGGTAATGGAAATGTGTCTTGACTATATTAATTCAGTATTCTGGGTGTGATATTTACTATAATCTTGCAAGATATTTCCATTGAGGAAAACGGGTAAGGGGTACAGGAGATCTTCTGGATTATTTCTTATAACCATCATTGATATACTGTGACTTACCAATATTGATATGCAGTGGGCATTTTATAATCTTTTGTTATTTTATAGTTTGGTTTATATTTTAACAGATAGTTTGGAAAGGGGGGAAAGGCAAAGAGAAGAATAAAGTGAGAATAACATTTTGTAGCCTGGGACATAGTTGTATTATAGGCTCAGCTGCTTCTGAAACCAGTAAGGGCAAGACTGGACCTTTCTGGGCCAAATGTTCCTGTTGAGTTTGAAAAAGACAGTGCCACTCCTACGTCTGAGCCCTTTGGGTAATAGGCCACAAAGCAGCAATTTAAAAAAGAAAAGAAATTTTTTTATCTTCACCTGAGGACACTTTTTTATTGTTTTTTAGACAGAGGAAGGGGAGAGAGAAACGTTGATGCAAGAGAGAAGCATCGATTGGTTAGCTCCCAACAGCTCCTGGACCAGGGACCAAACCCACAAACCTAGGTATGTGCCCTAACCAGGAATCAAACTCACAACCTTTTGGTTATGGGATGATGCTCCAACCAACTGAGCCACAGTGGCCAGGGCAGGATTGTTTTTGTATGTTGGTGATTTTTTGTGTGTGTGAATATTGTGAGTAAATGCCATGTGTGCATCCGACATGGACTGGGGTGGTCAACAAATGAGGAAGGGTGCTGTCAGAGAAATCTGCATGTAAGTAGTGTTTCATGTTTGTGGAAACAATGAATCCCCCCTTGCCCCCCACACGCACTTTTAAATTTTTATCTAAATCTAAGGATTTAGATGAGTCTTGATCTGATTATAGTAGCTATGGTTCTGAGATCATTTCAAAGTCCAATAGGACAGGAGGTAAAGAGGAGGCTCTACGGTGGAATGTGTTGTTTTGATTTTTATGTGTCTGAGAGTTTAGAATATTGGTTGGTACTAAGTGAAGTGCTTTCTAAATCAAGTTCACAGCCGTTGTCAGATGAGACTGATAGTTGTACACAGAAGAAACAAGAGGGAAGTACTCAGTGAGCTTGAATTTCTCATAAAGCAAAGAGGGCTGTGTTATGACTTGTAAATCAAGGAGACAAAGTACAAAGTTTGATGTGCTGAGTGAGGATAGAGTCCAAGTCTGATTGCAGGGGTGTGACCCTCCCTCGGACTAGAAGTCTTCTCCTAGGTGAATCTCAGACCTTGGGAAAGTGCCAAGGCAGGGTTGCCTATCAGCTTATCAGGCAAAACAGCCCGATGGGTCCCTGTGATGCAAAAACAGGCTCATCGCCCTGTAAGACCTCTGCTTACATTTGTCCCATGACCACCTGCAATCAAAACTCAACTGTATTAAAATCAGCAGTTGCTGTCACTTTTGATTTTTAGGATTAAGTTTTTGTTTTTCCCTCTTAGATGAGGAGACACTTGCCTGTTTAAATTACAAATAAAAAGGTTGTTATACTTTTAAAAAAATGAGAATGGTGATCTAAAAGTGGAATAGGAGAGTGAAGGCTAATGATGATGAAGAAAAACTGAAGTTTAAAACAAGAAAAAAATCACTTACCATCCAGATATAATTACAATTATATTTTGATATATTTTAAACACTTTTTCTATGTTTATTTTTAAATGTATATGACATCATACATTATACAACTTATACAACTTATATAATTTTTACTTAATATTTTATCATAAACATTTCCCATGCCATACATTTTTTTGGTAAACATTTAAAGCTTGCATAACATGCCATTGTATTGATGTACCTTCCTTTAAATGGACAACAATAGGTGAATGGTTATGTAGATTGGTCCTTGGTTTTCACTCTTATAAAACTGTGAACGCTATTGTGCCTAAATCTTTGCATTTTTAGGTATTTCTTTCCATTGTAATTATTTGTTGATGCCATTTGCCTCTTTATCTAGTAGATATCTCAAGGGCTTTAAAAAAAAAATCGGCATATAGCCCTGGCTGGTGTGGCTCAGTGGATTGAGTGCCAGGCTATAAACCAAAAGGTCACTTGTTTGATTCCCAGGGCACATGCCTGGTTTGCAGGCCAGGTCCCCAGCTGGGGGCCTGTGAAAGACAACGGATTGATGTATCTCTTGCACATCAGTGTTTCTCTACCCCTCTTTCTCCCTCCCTTCCCCTCTCTCTAAAAATAAATAAATAAAATCTAAAAAGTATACCAGTGTATATAAAAATTGTCTTATTTATAGCTTAGTTGTTAAATCTATTGCTTTCCTCGGTAAATTTTTCACTATTTTTAAGCTCTGAACATCTTTCCTTATTTAGAGCCCCATATGAATAACAAGTGTAAAATCTCAAGATATGCAAAGATAATATCATTAATTTATCTGTTATAGGTTTTAATGTATATCAAGGCTATACATTGATATTGGCTTTATTCTTTCTGATAATTAGCCAGTTTTTTTTTCTGGGTCAGACAGCTTGATTGTGTGTGTGTATGTATGGTCTTGATTCATTCTTAAGCAGTTACATAATAGGTGCTTAATTTATGTTATTGAAAGAAATCTCTTAATGGAATCAAAGTCCTTGGTTCAGTTGTTCCTAAAGCTTATCTGTGTCCTGGTTTTTTATTTCCATGAGATACTTTCAATTTGCCTCATCATAAATTTCCCCTGTTCGCATAAGCTAGCCTGGTCTCTGTCCGTTGTAAGGAGAAGTGCTCATGCGATCTACAGAGGTCTGCCGTGTTCTAACTCATTCTGGCTTATTGCAGAGGGAGTGCCTTTCCCTTCACGTGGGCCAAGCTGGTGTCCAGACTGGGGATGTTTGCTGGGAACTTTATTGCCTGGAACATGGAATCCATCCAGATGGCTTTCTTCTCAACAGTAAAAATGATCAGTTGGGGATTGCTAAAATGGAGCATAAGTATGCCTCTTTTGATTCCTTCTTTTGTGAGACAAGAGCTGGGAAGCATGTGCCCAGAGCACTCTTCATTGACCTAGAGCCAACTGTTATAGGTAAGCTAACGTTTTTGTTGTAATGTACTTAACCAGGGCCACAGTCAAAACAAACAAATCACAACTATCAGTGGGTGGGACTGTCAGATTATACAGTCTTACATAAACAAGATTATGTAGTGTCAGCTAGGAAGGCTCCAGTGATCTTTCAACAACTCCATTAAGAAACACTGTTGTCATCCTCAATTTATAGATGAGGAAACTACAGCTTGAGAAAGTCATAGAACTTGCCTTAGTTAGATAATTGAGTTATTCAGGGTTGAACTGTCTTTGATTCCAGGTTTGACTTCTCATAAAAGTCATTCTCTTTGAACAGAAAAGCAGCATAATCAAGTGAAGAAGAAAATGTGAAATAGTTAACACTAATAAATATATTAAGTTAAACCACATAAAATTGCCAATGGATGACCATTTTTTACCTAAAAAATGTGAATTTCATATGCTACAGCCTCATAGTAATAGAAGTTTCTGTGAGGTACAGAGTTATCACTGTAGCAGGATGAGTAACTGGAGAGTCATCAAAGGTCTCCTCCTGAAGAAACAGCACTTGCAAATTCACAGAGGCATGGACGAATGTGCAAGTTTAACAAGAGTTCAGCAGGGATGGACCTTCCAGTGTGAGTAGGAGAGTGATGGGAGAGGAGACTGGAAAAATAGCTGGGGCTGAGTCATGGGCTTAGATGGGGGGAAGAAAGGAAGTGTGGTCAGAGAAAGAATTTTGCAACTTTTAAGATTTTAGGGTTTACAGTCATGAGTGACGGTGATTCAAGTGGAGTGGAGCCGAATGGCATTAGGGGTAAGGAATCCAAGGAACAATCAAATAATTGTGTTTGAAAACCATGGAAGTCCCTGAGGATGCTGTTGGGCCAGGTATTTGAGTCTTTGATCAGTGTGGGGTTTGATCAAAGTTCAAGAAAGTGAGTGGACAGAATGGTGCTGCTGATTTCTGAGAGAGTGGATTTCATTGAGAGAATTTATGGAACTTATAAGCCACCCTCAAGATCTCAACTTGACATTGTCATGAAGAAGCAAGCTTCCATAAATTCCATCAATGCCCTCCTTTCACTGAACTCAGCCTTAGATCTTCAGGTGAGAAGCAGAGTCCACTCAGAATTATATTCCCACTTATGTCTTATTTTTAAATATAGCTTTAAAAACATCAACTTTCTTAGGATTTTGGGGGGTATGTGTATGTTAGTTAAGTCATTTAAATGCAATTTTAGTAAATTTGAACATCTGGGGTTGTACAAAATTCATGGTCATATCATATACAGAAGAGCAAGGTGACTTGAGAGAACTGTCTTGCTCTTAGAAAATTAGTTCATTTCCTTTAAGACAGTGAGCTTCTGTGACTAACTATGGATGTCCGGTGCCAAGGCCAATGATGTATATAGTAAGGTAAATCTGCATAAATGCATGTCATGAAGCTAAATTTATCATTATTATTTATGACTCTTGTTTTATGGGCCATGCATCATGCCTTATGATTTCATTTAAGCCTCATAATAACTCAGTGGGGTAGGTCTTGTTATTATCCTTATTTGTGAGGTGAAATAATAAAGGCTAGAGACATAAAAGTACCTGCTCTATAGCTAAGTGAGGAAGGCAAGATATGAATATAGGATATTGATTCTTGAACACATGCTCTTTATTACTATGGAATGCAGCAACACACTGTAACCAGGGCAACATTCTAAAAGCCTACTTAACCCTCAAACACCCCTGAGTAATTCTTCAGGAGACATGCTCTTTGGGTAATTTTAAGGTAGGGGAATGGACATGGGCCTCCGATATGCTGTGTTTCTTATGCTGCCCAGGGTTTTAAAATACAGTGAAACCAGGCAAGAGTTGGTGCACTTAGTTGTACTGGATACTTCCAACATCCTACCACTGATTTACCTGCCACATGCATTTATTCTAATTGTATTTGAGTCATGTGGGCATTTGAGCATGCCACACCTTCTTTGTTAAAGCCTCTTTAAAGTATACTAGTAATGATTTACATTGACATCCTCTTCCATACTTTTCCAGCACACTGTTGGCTCTTTGTGGGTTAAGATATACTTATCTTAAAATGCCAAAGTGCCACAGGATGTGTGGTGGGTTGAAGAGTGTCTACTAAAAATTTGAATCTACTCAAAATCCCAGAATATGACTTTGTTTAGAACTAAGATGATGTCATACTGGATTAGGGTGCCCTAAGTCCAATGATCTGTATCCTTATAAGAGTGAACACCCAGGGAAAGGGCACACATGATGGAGGCAGAGACTGGCGTGATGCAGCTGCCAACCAAGGAACTCCAGGGACTGGCACAGTCATCAGAGCTTGGAGACAGGTGCAGAGCAGATTCTCCCTCAGAGCCTCTGGAATGAATCGACACTGCCAACACCTTGCTTTTAGGCTGCTGGCCTCCTGAATAAATTTCTCTTGTTTTAAGCCACCTAGTTTGTTGTAATTTGATACAGCAGCTCTAAGAAATTAATAGAGGGTGCATGATGGAAAAACATACTTTCAATTTGTATGGAAATAGTTATACATTTTCCTAGACTAAGGAAGGCCAAGTCAGCAGTTTAAACCTATTGCTTCACCACAACATTAAGGGAAGAGAGGGGTCCTGGTCCAGGGCTGCGTGAGAATTAGCAGAGGGCTAGCAGTTGTTCGAGCAGAGTGGCTGACTTGCTTTTCCTCCTGCAGATGGGATTCGAACAGGCAAGCACCGCTCACTCTTCCACCCAGAGCAGCTTGTTAATGGGAAGGAAGATGCTGCAAACAACTACGCCCGAGGCTACTACTCTCTGGGGTCAGAGATCATCGACCTTGTGCTAGAGAGAATCCGAAAGCTGGCAAGTGGCTGTTTTCTCCTCAGTGGGGCTTTGGGGAAGTGTGCCTGGGTGTGTGGGATTCTGCCGGACACCTTCTCAGCATCACCAGCAGTTCTGCCACCAACATCATCGCCACCTAACCTCTCTCCTTGGAGCCTTCTGCCATGCCCAGACCTGGAAAGTGTCCTGATGTGGGCTTTGTTCACATTGTGTTATGCAGAAAAAAGCAGAGAAGACTTCACACTTTCTGTACAGCCCCATCTTCTATTTTTTTTAAAAAAGATTTATTAAGGAAATATTTTATATTCCTCCTGCTTTATTGATATATAATTAACATAGAACTATTGTGTAAATTTAATGTGTACCAGAACAGGATTAGTTAATAACTCCATCCCCTCACATAATTACCTTTTTATAAGTTTTATGGTGAAGACATTTAAGATCTACTCTCTTAGCAACTTCCAAGTAAACAACACAGTATTGTTAACTATAGTCACTATGCTGGACATTAGAGGCCTGGATCTTGACTTCATCTTCTAAAAGTTTGTACCCTTCAACCAAAATCTCCCATTTCCCCCACCCCTCAGTTCTTGGCAACCACTATTCTACTCTCCATTTCTATATGTTTGGCTTTTTTAGATTCCATATATGATTGAGATGATACGGCATTTGTCTTTCTCTGTTTGTCTTACCTCACTTAGCATAATGCCTACAAGGTCATTATGTCCTCCATCTTGCAAACACCAGGATTTCCTTTTCTTTAATCACTAGTCCCATCTTCTCTTGCTTCTGCTAACTCACAGTTTATCTTGTTATCAGAGACTTCCAAAGCACCCTAAAACTTGTAATTTTTCAACAGTAACCACTATTTGTAAAGTTAATGGGAGGCACATCCTACCTGAAGATTAGTTACTCTGTTTACTGACAGTTAATTCTTTAAGGACATGTTTCTGGAGAACCATTTGTTGAGGACATATTTAGGCATTTGCCATAATCATTAGGTAATATGATGCTTTTACACCAGCCCAGTAGAGTAGGCATACAAATGATAGGCCTTTCACTTACTTTGGGGGAAAATTACGTTGCTTCAATGTTTTGCTAGTCATTTTCTTTGTTATTGATAGAGAACTTGCTGTAGATCACATACGGACATATTTATAGGGAGCAGTAAAAGACAGTTGAATATTTATGCTTTACTTATAGTAAATCTCTAAAGTGCTCTGCCACCTCAGAAGTAACCACTCAAGTATGTTTCAAAATAAATATGTTTGTTGTGCAGTTGATAACAGTAAATCAGCCCTTCCTGAAAGTTTTGGTTCATTCTGGGAACCACTGCTTCTTGGTCTAGTTGGCTGAGTTCTGACATCTTGTTTTCTTTCCCAGGCAGAACAGTGCAGTGGACTGCAGGGATTTTTGATTTTCCGAAGCTTTGGAGGAGGCACTGGATCAGGATTTACATCTCTCTTAATGGAGCAGCTCTCGCTGCAATATGGGAGAAAGACTAAATTGGAGTTCTCTGTCTATCCAGCACCCAGGATCTCCACTGCTGTAGTAGAACCTTATAACTCCATTCTCACCACCCATTTCACATTAGAGCACTCAGACTGTACCTTCTTGGTGGACAACGAGGCCCTCTATGACATATGCCATCATAAACTTGGTGTTGAACGCCCGTCTTATACCATTGTTAACAGGTTGATAAGTCAGGCAGTATCTTCCATTACTGCTTCCCTCCGGTTTGAAGGGTCCTTGAATGTGGACCTAAATGAATTCCAGACCAATCTAGTGCCTTATCCAAGAATACACTTCCCCATGACAGCCTTTGCCCCCATCATTTCTGCTGACAATGCCTACCACAAAGACTTCTCTGTGTCAGATATCACCACTGCTTGCTTTGAGTTCTCCAACCAGTTAGTCAAGTGTGATCCTCGATGGGGGAAGTACATGGCCTGCTGCCTACTCTACAGAGGGGATGTGGTTCCTAAGGATGTGAATGCAGCAATTGCAGCCATGAAGTCAAGAAACTCTGTTCAGTTTGTAGATTGGTGTCCAACTGGTTTCAAGGTGGGCATCAACAATCAGCCACCCACAGTGATGCCAGGAGGGGAAATGGCCAAGGTCCAGCAGGCTGTCTGCATGTTGAGCAATACCACGGCAATCGTAGAGGCCTGGGCCCGCCTGAACCACAAGTTTGACCTCATGTATGCCAAGAGGGCATTTCTACATTGGTACATCAAAGAAGGCATGGAAGAAGAGGAGTTTTCAGAGGCTAGGGAAAATCTGGCTACTCTGGAGAAGGATTATGAGGAGGTGGGGCAAAGTTTCTGATACATATGTGATGGTAAAAGTGAGTGTTAAGTGTCATGTTTACTTTCTAAGACATTATACAGTTAGTGGGTAGAGTTCCCTTGATTGGAAGAAGAAAGAAATCAAATCAAGCAAGAACATAAGTTCCACACTAAATTAAGCCAGCCAATATTAACAATGAGCACATCTTTTCTTGTCAGTATAATTCAGCACTGCTATCTGTGAATCTCCTAACCTTTGGAGTCCTTTCTGGGTTACATCTGGGTTTTTTTTTGTTCTTAGAATGGAAACCTTGCTATATTCTTTGCTTTTTCAACCGCAACTCTATGAAACAGTACTATACCTGAGATGCAAAAACAATACAGTATTGATTATTAATGTTATTTCTTCCATGTCTATATTTTGTACATTGATTAAATAATGAGCATTTTCAGTATGATTCTTTCCTTTCCAAATGTGGGCCTTAATGTCTTAGTTTGCTTTACAAACAAACATACAAACAAATATATTCTTGAGTCTTCCACAAATTTGAATCTGTGTGTCCAGTAGATCAGAAGGTGAAAGTGATCTCTTTCAGCTTTCCTTCCTTGAGGAAGTGTTCTCAAAGTGTGGCCCACAGACCCCTATATCAGAACCATTTCAGAAGTTTAGAAAGAAAAGTAGATTCTTGAGTTTCACTACACACTTGCTAAATGACAAGCCCTGGGGATTGGAGGTGGTGTGATCTGAGGATCTGAAGTTTAAAAAAAAACTTAACGGCCCTGGTTGGTGTGGCTCAGTGGATTGAGTGCAGGCCTGTGAACCAAAAGGTCACCAGTTCTATTCCTGGTCAGGACACATGCCCGGGTTGCAGGCTAAGTCCCTGGTTGGGGGCATGAGAAAGGCAGCCAATTGATGTTTCTTTCACCCACTGATGTTTCCCTCTCTTTCTCCCCCTCTGTCTAAAAATAGATAAATAAAATCTTTTAAAAAATAAACACTTAATGGAGTTAACTTTTGGTATTAAACAGTATTACTGCTTGGTAGTAATGCATTTTCAAATGAGTTATAATTTAAAATGAGAAAAACTATAAATGCATTAAAATCACTAGCCAGATTTTAGAAATCCATGATGTTTAGCTTAACAGTTGGAATTAGGGTGAACTAGATACTGCAAAGGTACTTGTGTGGGCTGGTGTTGCTCTTGAGCTGATGGTAGGTAGGTTTCACGCGACCCATTCATCATCTGTGGTGTTTTCCTTTCAGCCTTAGTCCTCTAGCTGTACTCTCTCTTGGCCCCAACATGGTCAGTGCTTTTGGTCTGGTAGGCTCTATAACCTTGGCTAAAGGTGTAAAATTGTGTGTATTATTGTGAGATTTACCAAACTACAGTGCTGCCACCTTCTTACATGTGTCACCTGGACCCCAGAACTGCTGCTCCATCTTTCACATGTTCCTGGTAGGTGTTTCTACATACTCAAATCCCTGTCCTGAGATGTGACCTTTAAAGAGGTCCATTTGAACAATGAACTATTTTGCCTGTTTTCAACTCCAACCATTGTCACCATGGAGGCCAATGACCACAAGTTTGGTGGATGTGGTATTTAGGTATTTGTCAATACCTGCGAAGAGTTGGTTTTGCAGCCCATGCAACTATAACAATGAGTTTTTGCTCAGTCTAAATCTCAGAGTATTTGGCTGGACCTTCTTTGGCCTTAGCTTCCAAGGCTCTCTACCAAGGGCTCAATCTATGCTGATACCTAAACAATATTATACCAGGGTTCCCTTTGGAACTAAGGACAGTTAATTCTAAGATGCACGCAGGGCCTCCAATATAGTAACAGAGTAATGAATATGACTCTCAGTCTCATCTCTGACTTGCTTTCATCAAACATTTGGAGGACAGTTAAAAATATATATATTTTTCTCCAAATAAAGGGAGTGATTTCGTGAACCCGATTGTCACTTTCATCAAATCCAATGCAGACTAATAGTGGACTGTTTCACTCTTTATTTAAGTGTGGAAGAAAACCGTCAACACTTGAAGGAGCCTATACTAGCATCCAAATTACTAGTGGGACTCCTATTTTTTCAATTAACCTATGCCTCTCCTGTTTGCATTTTAAAATCTATCTTATTCAATTGTAAATAAAGCTATTTGATGACCTAAGTACTATTGACACTTCACATGTGAGCTTTAGGGTTAGGTTTCCTAGAGAGTATTTATCAAGACTCAAATACTTTACTTTAGGCTGTTTCTTTTAATCAAATTTGTCACTGTAAAAGGGAAGATGTAACATGAAAAAAATATTTAACTAGATATTAGGAAATATGAATCCAGTTCATGACACCATTACAATTATGTGATCTTGAAATATATACTTAGCTTCCCCATATACTAAAAGCCTCATTTTGGACAAAGTTATTTCTAAGACCTTTCCAGTTCCAAGACTTTGTGAGTCTAAGAATTGATGAATATGTGATGCTACTTCTACAATGCCATACATAAATATGAGACTTACCAAACATTTTTCTTTATTATTCCTATTATTCATGCCACCTCTCTATTAGTTTATTAAAAATTCATTAAAATATTTTAGTGAATACCCTTGAAATTACAACTTCAAACTTGACTTATTGGCGTGCTTTTAGTGTTTTCACCATTGTTGGGCAATGAAAAGACCACAGGACACTTCAGCTTCATTTACTATCCTGCCTTCTGTGCATTTTTTACCCTGTATTTTAATGCCATACATATTTTAAATCTGACAAGACAATGATTATTAGTGTTGTTTTTGAAACAGTAGATGTTTGCTTAGATTATCCCTCATTCTCACTCTTTGTTCCTTCTTGCATCACCATACTTCCACCTGGGATCATTTTCCTTCTGACAAAGTAACTCACTTTACTCTTTTTTACTGTGGATCTGGGTTTGAATGGGAATATTTGCCTTTACTTCCTTAAAGAGTGAGATCACCTGAGCTAATGACTGAAATGACTCTGAGGAGTATCAGTGCTAATTACATGTGATTTTGAGGCAGGGTCTTTCTTATCTGTGTCTCTACCATGTCAGGTATGGTGTCAGTACTTAACATTTATTAGATTGAAAATCACCAGGAGTTTACCTTATTTCCTACTTGATTTAAATCACATCTACCTGACTTTAACTTCTTATGTTCTCCTTTGAGCTCTCCTTAAAATTATTTTGAATCTTCACATATCTTCTACTGTCCCAGAGGAAAGACTTCTTTCCAAGGCCATTTATAATTTGTGTAGCTTCTCCCCTTGACTGTTCTAGAAGACCTGGTTCCTTCAGCCTCCCTTGTATGTTGTCTCCCTTTCTCCATTGACTTCTTTTCTTCTCTCTTCTTATATGTTGAGGTCTCCCCATTAAAAAAAATCAACACCCTTTCCTGGATTCTATTGCTCTTATAACATATTGTTACATCTTTTCACTCCATCAGGTTTTTCAGAGGAACACATTTGATGCCTACAACTCATCTTATATTCACTTTATAGCCTTTGTTATTTGGTGACCTCCCTATCATTTTACTGAAACTATTGTCTTAAAGATGACTGATCATACCTGATTTATCAAAACAATGACTTTCTCAGCTTTCAGATTTCTTGACTTTAAGCATTTGTTAATTATTTTTCTTCAGACTTTTCCTTTGCTTTCTGAGGCACTATTTGGTTCTCCTCCTTGTCAGGTATCTCCACAGACTCCTTTTCTCCATCATCTGACCCTAATGAATATGCCCTTGATGCTCTTCTTTGGTTTTTATCTTATTCATAAACACATCAGCTCTACATGAGTGACTGATTTCCCTTCTCTCTTGAGTTTTATACTGGAATTTCTCCCTAACATGCTGAACCTACCCTCCCAAATGTTTTGCCTACACTTACATTTAACTTCTTCCAAAAAAAGCATCATTTTCCTCCAAAGAAACCTGCTCTTCCTTTAGTGTTCTGTCTTATTTATGTCATCATCTCCCCAGTTAGGCTGAGTCTAAGCAACACCATCAATTTTTACTGTTCTCTCTCTTATTTAAAGATTTTTAAAAACCCTCATCTAAAGATATTTTTAACAAATTTCCTTTAGAGAGAGAGGAAGGGAAGGGGAAGGGTGGAGAGAGAGAGAGAGAGAGAAAGAGAGAGAGAGAGACATTGATTTGTGCTTTCTTGTACATGCCACAACCAGGGATTAAACCCTCAACCTGAGCGTGTGCCCTGACCAGGAAATCCAACCCACAACCAGTTGGTTTACGGGATGGTGCTCCAACCAACTGAACCACACCAGTCAGGGCTTAGAATCCCTTTCTTTTTTCTTCCTGGTGATGGCATCCTAGCTCAGGTCATCAAATCTTCTTCCAGTCCCTGGCAACTTGTATCTACATGCTCTTCTGTTTCTCACTTTGTCTTCCTGATCCATCCTACTCACTACTTTGTGACTGAATGTTCTGAAGCACAGCTTGGGTTATTCTGCTCCCTATAAAAAGCTTCAATGATTTCCCATTGTCTTAGGCATAAAGCATAAACTCCTGCATGTGAGATGCAGAGCCTGTCACCACTAGTTTCAGCTTAAATTTCCAACCCCATCCTCTACTTTGCTGTCATGTATTCCAACAAACTAGACTCTCCCGACTTCTTAGCATAGACTCTTACCTCTCTCCTAGACCTTTGCTCCTTCTCATTGCTCTCTCTCATTTCCTGTGGGACCATGAGATGTAATTTCTCCTGCAAATCCAGTTCAGATGTCACTTGCTCCATGTAGCTGCTCGGGACTCTCCTTCCTTGTGCCTCTTTGAGCTACCAGAGCAATCGGTATTATCCATTTACTCCTGCCCTAAGACCCAAGGGGCAGAGTAGGTTTACTGTTGTAGGTATGTGAAACACAGTTGATTCTTGTATTATTATTTATTACTTATTATTTTCCATGCAAAGAACTATAAACCTACAAAAGTGTGCCCCACCCTGTATTGTAAATACTCAGTGATGAAACTTTTTTTTCATGTGCATATCCTGCACAGTGCTTTGAATTTTTATTAGGCTCTTACTAATTATCTATTTATTTATTTTTTTAATGTACACGTATTGCTTCTCTCTTCAGACACTGGAGGGCACTCGTGAAATGCTTAAATAACTGCTCAGTCATTCCTGGGAGTATTGCAGTCCAGAGGGTATTTGTACGTGTGTCTATGCATGTGTAAGCATTCTCACACACAGAAAAGATTATTTACAGGTTTTTCCATTGTTTTTAACAATAACCTACTAAGATTAAAATAAAACAACAAATTATTTCATAAACTTTTAAGTTCAGCTTGTGAATCTTACTATTGCTAAGTCTAGCAAACTTAAAGAATCACTTTTAAAGGGAATACACATGGAGTTCCGGTCCTCTTTGCAATCTTAGGTAAACATTCTTAAATATTTTATATTGCCTTTATAAATTTGATATATTTTATTTTATTTTAAGAGCTTTGTCTGATGAATTTTCACAAGTACCCTATTCAAATCCTTGCTTATTTTTCTTTGTTTTTTTCTTTTCTTCACAATTTTTAGTAGGTCTTTATATATTTGATCAATAAACCATTTCTCTCTTATATGAGTGGCAAATATTTTCCCAAATTTGTCATTCATTTGTATTTTGCTGCTGCTGCTGTTAGTAGTGTTAGCTGCTGGTGTGTGTCTAACTTTTTGATTCCCCCAAGCAGAAATTTATGTGTTTATGACTTACCGCTGGGCCAAAGTGAGTGGAACCACAGTCCATCTCCAGGAATCTGGCCCTCAGGCTTTGCTGCCAGAGGCCATCAGCGTACTTGCTGATGTCTGTTGTTAGTGGATTTTTACTCATATTAAATTCTTTCATCTCTGAATTCCTCATATATTCTTTAGACTAATTGCTATCACTTTGTAGTTCACCACTTATATATCCCATAGTGGTATTTTGCTTTTTTTCATATAGGTTTTGTCTATTTGCTTAGATGTTGACTCGTGGAGAGCATAGATCTTGCCTCACACATCAGTATCTCTCAGGCGCTGGGCCATTTCTACGGTTTCAGTGAGCACCTATTAAGTGTTTTGTGGCCCTATGCCCTAGCAGGTTATGGAGGACATGTGATTTCCCAAGGGAAATAACTGAAAGCTCCCTCTCCTGTCTAGCCCAGGTGCCGTCCTGGCAGCAGACCCTTTGGTTGGGAGCAGACCCCTTGGCTGTGCCCCTTGGGTGGGACCAGGGCCATGGAGATTGCTCTAGATTGAATGACAGCTGACAGAGTCCTGCCTGTTTGATCTTTCCCAAGCCCTTCTTTACTCTCCCTAAGACCTCCAAGAGCCTTTCCCATCCTGGGAAAGATGGGGAATTGACTCATCTCTATTCTCCCTCATTTGCCTTCCTTTTCTGAGAACAGAGGTTTAGAGGCAGTTGGTGAAGGAAGAACTGAAACAAGTGAGAGGTTCAAGAAGCCACTGGTTTTAATGGAAGCAAGAGAGCAGGGAAGGGATTCGGTGGTAGGATGGTAATCACGGTGTGTCCTCATCTTCCCGTCGTGACTGGGGTTGGTGTGCAGGGAAGAGAGGAGCACTGGGTGTCCTCTTCTCATCCATGGGACCCTCAAGGAGAAGTGTGGGGAAGGAGAAAAGAGACACAGAACATAAGGAGAGACCTTAATGGTCTCGTGTCATGAAGGTGGGACAATACTATACATCTGTGTATTATACAGAGGAAGGAGTTGGGCTGGAGGCAGGAGAGAATCAGAGGGGTTGAGTAGTGAGGCAGCCTGTAAAACTGGACCATCCACAAAATACAAACTGGTTGGGTGGGAAAACCCTCACCCTGCATTCTAACCTCTGTCTTTGTCCTTGATGGACCACCCTCCTGTGGCCTCGATTCTACTTCTTCCGTCCAATCTGTGCCATCAGATGGGCATTGGCAGCTGCCTTGGCTCGCAAATTCTTGGCCTTGGCGATGTTGAAGAGGATGTTCATGATGTTAGTGGGGACGTCAAGGGATAGAGTAAGCCTTGTGCGCCGGTCACCCTTGTCTTTTTCCTGGTTCATCCTCCCCTTGAACTGCGCTTGGGACAGGTACTTGTACGGGGTGTTTCCAGCTCCACTACCACCCCCAGGACCAGAGAAGGTCCTTTTCTTCTTGCCCTCTTCCTCCTCCTCCCTCCCCTTGTTCTCTCCTGAGAATGGGTCCTGGCTGGGCAGGTAGGGGAAGCCTCTCTTGCTCAGCAGGGGTGCATCCTCCAGCTGGCTCTTCTCGGCCTCAGACAGGGCTGTCTTGATGCAGCAGAAGATGGACTCGGCTTTGGAGAACTTATAGGATAGACCCATCCCAGGGGACCCTAAGAGCAGCAGCAGCAGCAGCAGGAAGTGGGCTGGCACAAGCATCTCTCCCTGTGGTAGAAATGAGGGAAGTGGGAAGGTGTGTGAGAGGGTTTAAGGCTCAGAAAGATGTGGGTTAAAATCCAGTGCAGCCTTGTTAATGCTCTACTACAACAGTTCTCTGGACCAGCAACATCATCTGGAAATTCATTAGAAATGCAAATAATCCTCAGGGAACTGAGTTGCAGATTCCCCACTTTCCCATTTACCTTTACTTAGGGTTTGCAGGGTAAAGGCAAAGAAAACCTCTACATCCTTTGCTCCCCACTGAAGTCTAATTTCTAAGCAAGTTTCTCCTCTTGTATTTTTTGTGTTCCTTTGCTATCACCTCTAGTGAAACACCATAAACGTTTACATTTCCCTGCTACTTATAAAAATAATTGAGCTCCATCTAGTCAGATTTAAGGGGTAAGGCTCTACATCTATATTTTTCTCACTTGGATAGATGAAACTCAATTATTGTTTAGGGTTGTTACAGAGGTACCTTCTCTGGTTGATTTAAGGATATACACTTACTTCTGAGAGCTGTGGCAGAGTCCAGTCCTAGAAACCTGGGACAGCTTGAAGTTCAGAGTGCTTATGAGGGAGAGGGTACCCAAAGGGAAAGACCTCAGGGTGGTGAAGCCAGAAGGCAGTGCCCCTGATTCCATAGCTTTGCCCCCTGCCAACTCCATTTTCCAGTGGGTCGGGTAGGGAGGGAGACAGAGTTATTTCTCGTTTTACCCAGTTTGTCTGCAAACACTGGTAAGAAGTTGAATTTAAAAAGTGAAGAATTTAAAAAACATTTTAGAAAATGTGGCTGCAAACCTAGCTTTAAACATTTCAAAAGGCATAGTAGTGAGTACAAGAGTGAGGTGCTTTCTTTTTGTGGACTCGTGGAAGTATTTGTGTGACACACACACTCACACACACACTTCTAAGCAGTTCACTCTCTAACTGAGCCATGAAGGTTTAAACATGAAAGGGTCTTCCTCCAAAAAGAGAGGCTCAGCTAAAGGAAATTTGACATGTTACAGATAACTGGTCATTGACAAAATTTTTATTATAGCCATATTATTTAATACACTCTCAGAAGTGTGTGTGTGTGTGTGTGTGTGTTTGCTAGACTGCTATGTTTGAAAGGAAAATTGCAAACAGGATTTCTCAGAACACTTGGGCATCAAATGGAGACATCGAACACCCATCTTTATGGTCCCTCGCCTTCACAGGTAGCAGCTAGTCATTGCGGGTATCTTCCAATGTTCCCAGTGTAGCAAGAGGGAAAGGACTCTGGGCTTTGAGGTCAGAAGACCTGGGTTCAAAACTTCCCTCACCACATCCTAAAAAGGAGGCTTTAGCTGCCTCACAGTTGTATTGAGAGAATGAAAGGAAATGACAGAGGTTGAAAGACATGGGCACATGACAAGCAATAATTGAAAGCATCCTACCACTCCTGCAGGCAATAGGGAATATCCTGTAGTTGCTGTCTCCTGTCCCCATTTGTAAACTATTACCCAAGGCCACTTTCCATGTTCATGACTGAATTCTGTTCAGAAAAATAGATTTGTATGAGCCCACTCTGCCTTTGAGCTATTGCAAAGCAGATGTCTCTATATCAACAAAAAGAGGATCATTTTACCACCCCTAGAAACTTCCCCATGGTCTCTTTGGAGCCATTTCTCTTTATTTAGAACACCGTGGTGCTCAGCACTGTCTTTCAACCTTCATGTCTCAACACTGTCCAGCCCCCAGAACCTCCTGCCTAATTTAGGGCAAATAAATTTATCCTTCATCAAGAAGTTTCTAACCAAAATCTTACCCAAGAGTAGACTTCCCTCTGGAGTGGAGATGCTCAGTGAGGCAGACAGGGCTTCAGGACCAGGAGGTCTGCCAGGGGAGCATCCCCCTGAACTTCTGTCTCTTCTGGGGTCGCTGGCTCCTTTTCTTGTACTGTTTTCTCGCTATGGAGACCGCTCCACTCCCGGCGTGCGTATGTCAAAGTGACAGATCACAGGGTGGGTCGTAATTTCAGATGTGGTGTCTACACTGGGATGCCGATTTTGTTTAAAATACAGCCAGAAGCAGCTGCCCGCGTCATGGAGACGACAGGCACTGTGTATCCTTGACCCCTCCTACCTGCACTCCCTCCCAGCCCTCCCAGCCCTCCCCACCTCTCACTTCCTTCCCCTCCTGCCCTAGCAACTTGCTTCATTGATAAAAAGAAAAAACACTGTTGAACTGAGAGGCAGTTTTTCTGAAGAGTTTTATTACTGATCTTAATTCTTACTAATTTCAGCCTTTCTATATCCTTGTCATCCTAACCTGCCTTTTAGACATCTAGAGCCAGGAAAGTAGAGAAGCTTTGAAAGTAGAGAAGGTGGCTTGAAGTCCACCTGTCTTCTTGTAATTCTGTGGGTTCTGACCTGCAGTGTTGTCTCGCAAAACTCAATGTAGTTGTGTTATCAAAGGGCGCACAAAGGGACAGGCCCAGAGTACCTGGAGCTTTTGGTGGGAAAGCACTTAATTTTACCTATTCATTCATTCATTCATTCATTCAGTATTTGGAGGGCACCTGCTGAGTGCCAGGTATTGCCAGGGCCCTTAGGGATTCAAGAAGTTGCAGTCCCTTTTCTTATAAGACATTTGCACTTTAGAAAGGTACATAAAAACAAAGCCAACTTTCAGTGTGGCATATGCCACAGCACAGACGGGAGCATTGCTGTCCTGGAGATTCAAGACAGGTGACAAGTGCTAGGAGAGCAGAGCATAGGGGTTCAGACAGAAAGAAGGTTTGAGTGGCGAGAACCAATGACAAGAGGGACATGTGGGCAGGAGAATGGGTGGGAGATAGGTGGGTGGCAAGGTTTGGGATGCCGTTTTATTCTGGGATGTGCGCGGAATGCAGGTTTGGAGATTAGGATGTTATTCTAAACGTAGTTTAAGCAGGGATTTAGAAAGAGAGGAAATAAACATTGGCTTCTTTTCTTGCCAATCAGCACTCTTTCCTCTCAACTTCCTAGAAAACTTCCCCATTGGAGACCAAAGCTCCAGGGGACTAAACAACATCTTGGTGTCAGGGGCTGGTGGCTGTCCTCTGAGTCCACTTCCTCCTCCTCCAGACAGGCAAGCTCAGGGGTTCCCACTGGACCATCTTGGGTTGGCCTTGGGATTGGCCAATGTTCCTAGGAGCTCCCGCATGTGAGTATGCAGGGTGCCCCATGGGATGCTTTCTCGCCTGAGCAGTGGTTTAAGGATGCCGTTCTTGGGATTAAAACCTCAAGAAGCAGTCCATTTGCTTTGCAATTTGAAACCTTTTCTGGCTGCTTCCATTGGAGGATTAGACAGAGTCTTGAACGTAAAGAGGATGATTAATGAACAAAACCCACCAAGGTGTCGTTTCCAGTAAACAGCGCTTTCTCTTCCTGCTCTCACCAAAGTTTGTGTGTGGCGTTCTGCTCTACTTGCACTTTCGCTGGTCATATGAGCCATTGCTCTCTTCCATGAGCTCAGCATTGGAAGGTTGTTTAGGGATGTCAACACCCTGTAGAGAGTATGTGGAGGGCCAGGGTGGGAAGAAAAAGCTGATCATTTTGTGGATGATAAGAATGGCTTATATTTATAAAACTTATTTCTCCAAAGTGCTCGAAGCACTTATATATAATAACAGTTTATTTTCTCAATGTTTGAGCTGGTCAGTATAAGGAAAACATAGGAAAAAGGAATTAGAGAACTGTAGGATGCTTGATTTATAAGGAAGAGGTTTTGCCGTGTTGTCAGGAAGGAGAGTTTGCACTTCTGCCTCTGTTGCTGGCTTGGTGGTTTGATTGGGATGGTCATATTCTCTGCTCCTGTTTCTGGTTTTACCTTCCCTATTTTTCTAACAAGGTTCGTCAAGACAGTATTTATAAGAACCTGATAAAGTTTTACATGGACACAGAATACTATTGTCATGCTTGTTTTTCAATTCTCCCCTTATTTTCCCTTATTGATTTTTAGTTTGATTCCTCAGTTGAATGGTGTGCGCTAACCGCCCCCTGTGTTTGTGGGTTTGTTTATTTCTTTTTGTAAGTTTGTCCATTTTCACTTTATATAGTTGGAGTGCTGGGTACATACAAATGCCTCCTTTCATCATTTTACTGCAAACCTCTATATGCCAAATAACATTTTTTTTTGTCTTAAAATCTGTTATGCTTGATATCAAAAGAGCTATTCCAGTTTTCTGATTGTTGACATTTTTTGGTGCATGTTTTCCAGTTTTTTCTGTGTCAAAATTCTTTTATGAGTGGTATTTATTTGCATTTTTTAAATCTATTCTAACAATCTTCATTTTAACAAGGCCTTTAACAAACACTAATAGTGATGACTGATGTATTCGGATTAATTTCTACTGAATATGTGTCTAGATTTTCTCTTATTTATTTCTGTTTTTTTCTTTTCTGTATTCTGTTGGATTAACTGATTCTTTTTTTTTTTTAATTGAATTTGTCGGGGTAATACTGGTTCAGAAAACTATACGAGCTTAAAGTGTACAACTCCACAAAACATTGTCTGCACACTGCACTGTGTGACTGTCACCCAAAGCAAAGTCTCTTTCCATTCCCCTGCATCCGACCCTTTGCCCACTTCCACATTCCCCTACCCCCTTTCCTTCTGGCTAACACCACACTGTTGTCTGTGTCTATGTGTAATATAATATAATATAATATAATAATCTAATATAAATGTATGTATGTGTGTATATACTTTTTTGCTTGATCTCTTCATTTTCTTTCAGCCAGCCCTATAACCTTCCTCCTTTCTGACAGCTGTCAATCTGTTCCATGTATTCATGCCTCTGCTTTTAATTTGTTCATCAGTTTCTTTTGTTCATTAGATTCCACATACAAGTCAGATCACATGGTATTTATCTTTCTCTGACTGGCTTATTCCATTTAGCATATTGTCCTCCCGGTATATCCATGCTGTCTCAAAAGGTTAAATTTTCTTCTTTTCTACAGCTGAATAGTATTCCAGCGTGAAAATGTCCC